AACAGTAGCGATCTGCTCATAAACTAAATTATTTTATCTTCTCTGATGAATATTTGTTATTTATGTTGCTAGGTGTACTTCAATCATTTTCCTATAAATCGACAAAATTTTGAAATTTGAAACTTATTAGCACTAACTGCATATCTATGCGACTGTTGATGCAAGATTTATTAAGTTGTAGTTTAATTAGAAATTCTATTGTGTAATTAAATGCAAATTTAAATAAGTGTCAATTATTTTAATATTGAAACAATATTTACCACTAATTTTGGTAATTTCGATATCTTAAATTTAATTCCATTTTAATTAGCTTCTTGCTACGTTTCCAACTAATTATTTTTAATATCACATTATATATATATCGTTAATATATTCAGTTCTTCACCAATTTCACAGTAATAACTTTCAATTTCAAAATTTTTTAATTTAGCCTTTTATGAGTCATTCAAATTAATCAAATTAGAAGGGATGGAAAATTGACAAATGACTTAAGTATACATGGTGTAACAGAAGTAAGTGCTGCGTTTGTAAAAGGTGACAGAGCCTTATAAAACATTAAAATTAAGTAAATGTTTGTATGTACGAAAGTTCATAGTTTTCGAGAAAAACGTACTTAAAAGTACAGGTAAATTCAATTCCGGCCCTGGCAAAGAGATACGGTCCGCAACGCTGCACTCAATCAGCTGGTGATTACCAGCATCAGCGTAGCATTTGTTTTGTACTCTTTTTTTGCTCATGTATTATTTTAACAAATTTACGTACCTTCTGAACTGCATCCCTTCTTTTTGGCTTCATCTGGCCAAGCACAGATGCCAGTCTTTGGATTGTAGACAAGTCCACTTGGACATGTGATCATGTTGAATTGTCCATCAACGCAGTAGTAAAATTTGTCACAAGTTGATGGGTTTGGGTGAGGAAAGTAGCCATGTTTCCTTGGACAATTTGTTGAAGGCTGTGGCTCCTCTGAATATAAAAAATACAATTGTTCGTACTGATTTTTACAGTTGTTATATTCGGAATATAATTATTATACATTTAAAAAACGAAAAGCAAAATCTTTTACTCATTATAAATGTGGGAAGAAGCGATAAAAAACATAGTAAAATATGAGGAGAGATTGGGGAGAAGGGGATACCAGAAAGAAAATATGGAGGACGAAGGTACTGGAAGTAAGGGGAAGATAAGCAGATATGTTAAAGTGAGGGAGAGGACTTTGAAGAGATTAGAAATCAATCAGCAATAGGTGAGAGAATGGTTCACAGAAGGGATAAATATAGGGGAATTGATTAGGAACAGATGCAAAGAAATTATAAGGGGAGGAGATTTAAGAAAAATATGTGCTGGAGCTAAGGGAGGCTTTATTAAAGGACTGGCAAGGAGATCGAGTGCCAAAATATTTAGATGGGAAGGAGATAAACGTGATAGCAAGGTTTAGGATAGATAATGAGTGAACAGGATGTGAATTTTGGAAAAAAGAAGAGCACAATGAGAGGGGTGAATTAGGATGGGAGTGAGCTGAGCCCACTAAAAATAATTTTAAGGAATAGGGTGTCGTTTTTCTGGGAATAGAAAATAGATAAGTTAAATAAAAGCTACATATAAATGTGACTCATCTCTAAAGAACGTAATTCGTTACCCTTTTTTTTAATATTTAGAAACTTACGCAGTTTAGGCCGTTGTGAGCAGTCAATATTGAACGGCAGATCGCATTTTTCATATTCGATGCTGAAATCGTTGAAAACCATGCCGTCGGGGCAAAGTTTTTCGGTTATTTGACCATCTTTGCATTCGTAGTACTTATCGCATTGTTCTACGTCAGCAAAGTAGCCATACGGTTCTGGACATTCGTCGGAAGCCTGGATGGCCGTTGGGACATCTTCTTCTTCAACTACAGGCTGACGACTGGGCTTGTTTTTTCGATTCGGCGAAGCACCAGAACCTAATCCTGAAAATAAAAAGTTACTTTTTATCGTTGTTAAAACAAAAACGATTGTTAGGGAAGGTCTTTTGTTAGGATTTTGGACCTTTTTTGCCAAATAGAACCTGAGTATCTACTGTTACGTTAATTACGTCAAGTCTTATAAAAACTATCGTTTTCTTGTTTGTAAAATCACAAGGTTTTGATGACGTTAGGATGAAAATCAAGATGTTCGAAATTGCGATTTTAAACTTCCTTACATAAAAAGAAAAGTTTGATGTTTTAAAGCTTTTAGAGGAATGAATGACTTGAAAAATATATGCTAATAATGATGCAACAAAAATTAAAAGAACTAAGAGTTTCTTTCAAGACCTGCATCCATTTAAACTAAAATGATTATTATCTTAATTAGCAAGTGCAATAAATCATAAATTAATGGAAAAAGTTGTGCTGCTCATAGCTTTTAATTAAAATTCTATAATTGTCCTTTTGATGTTAACAAACCCATTTGTTTCACTACACGGGAAACGTTGATTAGATACTAATACTGCTATAAATCTATATATGCTAATCTTTTACTCTTATCCCATATGTTCTCTCTTTAATGATATTAATCGTATGTTCGATAGGTATATGTATACGTAAATTAAACAGTAGCGATCTGCTAAAGAGGACCTTAAGTGATCCTAAAACGGCATGACGTAGAGGGGTTTTAGTCTGTAGGTCCGAGGACCCCTTCCTCGGGAATCCTACACTATCCAGTCGTACGGACGGTTGGGTGTCTTTGGAAGATTTCCCCTCTTCCACGAAAACAAAAAAAGTAGTAGCGGTGACAGTACCTAACTGCGTTCCTAATGTTTTCTCTTCTACGTTGCTGCCCAATTTCTACAACAGCCTATTGTTCTTTATAACATTTACATTTTTGAGTCAATTCCGAATTTTTTGTGAACACCTTTTGCTGCAATGCTGGTCACAGTCTTCATCAAAAGTATGCATTCTCGTATTTTTTCTCTTTGTCAAATGTTTTCATAGGTAGTATAGGGATTAGATGATTATTAGATTAGGGACACTTTAGTAATGAGTTTGTAGGTGACTAGAGGGTTAAAATTAAAATGCCCTGATGTATTTTAGGAAATCTATCTGAATATAATGGGAATTCTCCTTTTAAGTACCTATGCCTCTGATTCTGTGAGAGAATGACCTAAATTATTTACCTAAAATCCCATTTTGAGTCACCAATTTACATAGGTTTAATAGAGACCAGAAACTAAACTGAAAAGAAATATTAATTTCGTTTAACTTGGACTATTTATTAACACATGATTATAAAATATTGTGTATTTTGAGACGCTTTCTATTTAGAACACACTTTTTATAAAAACTTTTCAAAACCACACATGTAGATCAAATTGTACAGACGTTATACAATAAATGAGTGTCTTACATAATTTATACATTAGCTGGAGTTACATGTGTACCAAAATGATGAGGTAATACATTAAGTTAAATCAATATTCGTTACACAAAAAAGAATGTCAAAATAGCCAATCCAACAAGAAAGAATGCTACGATAACATAAAAAAGCACTTTCGATTTTTACTTTGGTACACTTTTACAAAACGAATCAATATACAAACTAAATTTAATTAATTGGAAAAATCTGTTAGTATGTAGGTATACTTTCAATTACGTAAAGAAATATGCTCTGTATAATAATGTATTTGAAAAGGTTTTGGAGGTAACCTTCACCTTCATATGAAAACCAGTTCGAGTTTTCAGTGGCAGAAGTAAATGAAAAACTGCTTGGTGCAAGGTGATTCCAAGAATAGATTCTTGTAATGATAAATAACGCGTAACGTATCTTTGTTATTTTGCTTTTGGGAAGGTTAATTAATAAAATGCGAGACTGTTTTCCTTGAAACGATATCGTGAATGTACAATCCAATGTCTACAGTTATGGAAAGATAAATTGTACTGTACATCAACATACAGTGTATAAAAACAAAAAATAAATGCAGATTTACATACAGTAATCTCGTTGAATTCATTACTGTCCTGCTCCTAAAATTCAAGTCGGAAAGGAGTTGCAGCTAAAGAGAAAAGGAATGTCATTTAAAGTTTATGATTTTCGTTTATTTTTATGTTGTCTAATAAGTATAATTTGTTAAAATGACTTTGGATTTTATAAAATTGTTGAAAGATTGTTCTAAAAAGTTATTTAAGGCTACTAATCAATTTTTTGATTTAGAGGTAATAAGTCTGCATCCAATCGGATCTTAAAATCCACAAAACTCCTTCGAGTTACGGAGAGTTATTGGACTTTAAGAGATCTATTTTAATGTAAAGCAGCTGGCTGTGACTGTAGTTGCCGTAGAAATGATTTGAGTTAAACTAAAATAATTTGAGTTAGAGCGAGTCAACTATAGTCTTTGTTTAATGAGAAATTCTTTGGTATTGAACAGACATCTACCAGTTGACCTTTACAATAAATGCATATATTCACTTTCATGTCACATATATGTAAACCGTTATTCCAACAAGTATTGTAGATGAATTTTTAATAATAGTCGTTGCTCAAAACTGAAATGTTTTATTCATTACGAATTTTCAAATGTACTGTAAGATCCCAACGTCTATTTCCTGCGTGGGCATATGGTATTGAAGACGATGGCGCACCTTTAATGGTATAAAACAGATATAATAAACAACGTTAGATGTTGAAACTTGTAGCATTTAAAAAATCCAATGTTGGGATGCAAAATCTTCTCTGATAGCATATTTTCTTTCCTAAATTCCTGAGAATTTTGAACTTTCTTTAGAGTATGATGTTGGCAACATGCTCATATTCCGCTTGTATGCATCTCTTTCTGTTACACATTAATTGGTGTAATGTTATTCCTTTTTCTTTATTAGTGTCCGCTGCAATTCCTACCTGACATCTCTTTTCTATGTTTACGATATCCCCTAGCAACATGCTCAAATACTGTTTGTTTGCATCTCTTTCTGTTACACATTAATTGGTGTAATGTTATTCCTTTTTCTTTATTAGTGTCCGCTGCAATTCCTACCTGACATCTCTTTTCTATGTTTACGATATCCCCTAGCAACATGCTCAAATACTGTTTGTTTGCATCTCTTTCTGTTACACATTAATTGGTGTAATGTTATTCCTTTTTCTTTATTAGTGTCCGCTGCAATTCCTACCTGGCATCTCTTTTCTACGTTTACGATATTAAGTAGGCTTTCTGTTAGCAACCGCTCTACAGAGCCGGACTGAATATTTTGGCCTGGCGTGCGATGTAACCAAATATTTCTCTTTTTTTTCACATTTTTTGAGTCATTTGGCCCGGTTTGACCCGGGGTGCATTTGCACCCCTGCACCCCGGGCCAGTCCGGCCCTGCCGTTCTAGTCTAGCTAGTAAGTTGAAATAAGAAAGTACATGTGACAGTTTTATTGCGGACTATTCCAATTTTTAAACGTCCCAACTTTATACACATTTTTATGAATTATTGCAATTTTCGCCTGTTAACCAAAATCATGGACCTACTATATCTACTATAAGCTTAAGTTTGTGCCTATGTCCTGTCTCGTCTAAACGACTAATTAATTGAATCCATTTCAACATAAATATTTGAAAGTTTGTTATCAGATAAACTCCATAATAAAATTTAGAGAAATTTATTACAATAAGTTCAATGATTCTTGGAAATCTAAATCTACTTTGTTTGGTATTATTATTATAGAAAGTATTTTAAGTTTAGGAAGTTGTATTCCATTGCATATCAGTTACCAATCAAGACTTTGTTGTACGCTAACACGATAGGGGTTTGACCTAATTATTCAAAAATAAATGCAACATACTCAAAACAATTTCTGAACCTTATTGGTCCAGTGGCAGAATTTATAATTTTGATTATTGTACTATTGGTGCATTCCTTAGCGAAATATTTTATTATATTATGTTAATTTTTGTGGAATCTTGTTTGAGTGTGACGAAACAGAAATAAAAATGTCATAATCTTTGTTGTTAACAACATTTCGACATTTATTCAAACGTAGTGATATAAACTTAAGGAAAAAGTCATGGCTATTTCAATGCAGAATATTGCAAGATATTGAGTTCAATAGTCAAAGGCTTTTATTATGAGATGAATAAGAGAAAGAGGAATTTTCTAAAATTAGTATGTTTAGTGTTTAGTTTAGTCTCCATTTAACACAAGGTTTTCATTAAACATTTTCTTACAAGAGAGAGTGTCAAAGATGACAAAAATTTCACTTTTTTCTCGCATTGCAGAATCGTTTATGAAATAGAAAACTGTAGATAGAAAAATACAATTTCATGACCTAGTTCTCACATAAATTCAGAAATCAACCTGGAAAAATCCAATTTGTTTGGATACACTTAATTAGATGAACAATTCAAACAATAAGGTTGTAGTTAATTACATTAAATGAGGAAAATAATACGAAAATAATACTATTCAAATGATAAAATATAATTTACAGTTATGGACAATAAAAGAACAAAACTCTGATACTAACGAAGGCATCGAGAAAAAATGGAATTATTTGAGACGAAAAAATTTTTTCACGTATAAAAATTTTTATTCGTTCTTTCACAAACGTTGTGATGATGTGAGATTTAGGAAATTAAAAAAAAATCTTTTTAGAGCCTTCCTCCCGTGTAGTGTATTTACTCATTTGATAATTCCTAATTATATAAATTAAAATTGCATAATAATCAAAAATTTATTAACATCTACCACAATTAAAAATTGAAAAAATATTCACTTATAATAATTCATCTACCTACAGTCAGTTGTTTTTAGACTGTCTATAAGAATTATTTTAGTGGTGAGTAAATTATAATTTCGTCAGGAAGATTGCAACCAATGGACATATTGAGAAGTGAAAGTAAATGACGAAAAACTTACCGATTACCAAGAGAACTAAACCTAACAACTGCAACATTCGCGCCATTTCCACTTACTAACAGACACTTTTAAACAGACTTACCTTTTAACCACTTCTATTCAGTTTGCTGGACGATTAAAAACTCGACCTTGTGACATTCTTTGAATGGGTCAGGCTTGTGACAGACAAAGAAATGAAAATAATTTAAAATGTTGCAGCACTTTCATCAGAAATCACTCTGTACATTTTGTTCTTAACTAAGGCAACAAAGATATCGTTCTTTTGTTTTCTTTTTGCATATACAGAGTGACTCAAAATTTCCCAAACACGAGTTTCAAACCACCATTATTACCATTTTTTAAATTTCCGGTTTTCTTAAGACTTGCAGTACATGGGGTGCCATTTTTACTTATGAAGGACTAAAATGTTCAGAAAGTAATCGATACTGCGCGCAATTTGTACCACAAAGATACTGAGAAACCCAAAAACGGTAACAAATCGTTAAAAGATGCTTTCCGACACATGATTGTTTCAATGACGTAACTACTGGGTTCCATGTGCTCCATGGAGCCCCACAGGACCCCTAAGGTTTGAAGACTTTAAAAGTTTACTGTCGGAGATGTATAAATGTTCAACATCTTTATCTCAAAATCGAAAGCGTCACCTTAGAAGCCATTTTGACGAATGAGTCAACACCTTCACATTGAAAGTGATGAAAAAAAAAATACAATAGAATTATCATAACTTATTGCTGTTTGTTTCTAACCATTCCAGTTACCATATTCTTTAAAAAGTGCCCCAAAAACTCTAAGATAACTAATAAAGTATAAGATGAAAGAGAAAAAAAACTTTTAATTAACAAATTTGTTCAATTTTTCTGTTTCCTGTGGTCTGTACTCCTAAAATGTAGCATCGTGCTACAGATGGCGTTTACTGCGCCATTTGTAGTATTTTCTTCAATAATTGTTCGTTTTCTTCTTTTTCAGAGTAGCTAAATGGTAAAAAGGTAACCCTTGTTCTTCTTTATGTGCGACTGTCAATCTTTCGTTGGCAATATGTTGGCAATTATTATTTCGAATGCAGCTACATGCTTCAAACATGGATAGTATATTTTATATTTACCAGAAAGGTACTCCTTTACGTAAAAATAGTAACAATAAACTTAGAATGAAACGAAGACAAGTACTTAGTAATTCCTCTACAAGATTGGCTTTCATATAGCAAAATTGTAATTATAAAAAGAAATAATGTTTAAAATTGGTTTAGTTTTATAAATTCTTATATAAAATTTAGTATTAGATAATTCCAACCTTATATCATTTTATAATAAGAGCAGAGTATAAAGAAACCATTACGTTACTGTAGTCTAAAATTTTTGTTAAATTTGGTATTTGCACGACTGCATTACAGAGAAGTAAATATGT